TGGCTGTTGTACATTCCCCAGACAAACTCTGTGTTCAGAGAATCCCTGCTCACAGTGTCTGTGAGTGTCTCAACAAGGAATGTCCCGTCTATCACAGGCGCCCAGGTGTAAGAGCTCGTCGTCCAAGTGTTGCTTGCGCCGATGATCAAACTTGCGTCACGAATCTTCTGGACATCCACGGATTTGAGACAGGCGAGTGTCCGATCAGCGTGACTGTAGTTATCACAACCAGTTAGGTTCGCCAGCTGGCTGTAGATTGCTTCTGCTTGGGGTGCGTTGTATTTATACGTCTTGGGCCAGAACGGCGAGCTGGCCAGGGCTTTGGAGAATAGTTTCGGTTGGCCATGGCGGCCGTTTGCGAGGACTTGCGCCACTACTGAGCCGGCACCGGCTGATTGGCCCCATATTGTTACGTTGTGAGGGTTGCCGCCGAAATGGCGGATGTGACTTTGTACCCATTTCAAGACATATTGCTGGTCTAATAGCCCCGGGTTTAGATCTGAGGTCGACGAGTCTTTGATTGCTTTGCCGGGTAGGAAGCCGAAGGCATTGACGCGGTAGTTTGAGTAGATAACAATGTAGTCGTTAATATTGCTAACATTGAGGATCGGGAATGAGGATGGCGGCATGGTGAACGCCGCGCTGCCTTGAATGAATGCCCCACCGTAGAATACGACCAACACTGGTCTGTTAGTATCCTTGGGCATGTCCCATGGGCGTGAGAATAGACCTAGATAGAGACAATCTTCGCTGCCGTTGACTGTGCGCTGGGGGCACATGTCGAATTCCTGGTTTGTGTCATAGAGGCCTCCGGTGATCTTTAGTGGTGGCTGAGGCGCGCGAAAGCGGTTCTCCCCCATTGGTGGTGCAGCAAATGGGATCTTGCGAAAATATGAGATATTGTAGGTACTGTCATATTGGCCTTTGAGGGTTCCGTAGTCGAGGGAAACTAGAGGGTTGTCCCATACAGTGCTGGCTGTGACCCCGAAGCCGAGGAGTAGGGTGACAATCAGGTCTGAGAACCTCATCTTGGGGTTTCAGCGGCTTTTGGTTCAAAGTGTTATTGTTCCATTCATAGCTGTATTCAACCCGGTGGGTCCCATGTCATATATAGCCAGGCCGTCCATAGCCTTTCTGTGCGCAATGAGGTATCAGCCCCATATGACGAGCAATCGCATTCGGTAGAGGAAACCCCGAGCTTCTCTGTGTGGCTCTCCAGCAATTTGGTCATTTTCAATCAGACACTCTTGGGCTTTGGCACGAGAGCAGCTTATTGGTGCAGTTATTGTTGATGCCCGGAACGAAATGCGGGGATTTGTGCAGTGGTTGTCAATTCGGACTCGATCACCCCGATAGATCGTTGATCATATAGTAAGAACAAACCATAGTTAGCTGGAGAATCCCCAGGACATCTAGTTATATTTATATTCAACCTCAATTAATGTGCCAAAAAGTAGCTGTCAAGGGAGTCCCTGTGCGAACAAAGCCCAGATAAACATTGTCCCCTCCAGATTCCAACCCTGAAAATGCACCCTTGTAAGAAATTCAAACTCCAGATCCAATTTCCATACAATATAATGCAATATAATGCAAATTTAAACAAGTATTATCACAAATCCCCATGCCCCCTAAACCAAAACTCCGGCCCCAACCGTCTTGTCTCGTAGATCAAACATGGCTCCAGGGCTGTACTGTTTACATAGTCATACGAAGTTCTCTAGTGCGACGCCGACTTGCCCGAGCATCACGGCGAGACTCAGTTGCATCGCTGGTCTCCGTTTCTGGGGTATTTGTGTCGGATAGCTCGGGGGTGGGGGTGATCCCAAAACTAACACCGCGATCCCGGCGACAGATACGTGATTGTGCGTCGGGAGACAAAAACCGATGGACGGTGCGATGATCCATTACTCGCTCTTCACCATCCGGGCTTTTGTCTGTTGATGGCCACTGGTATCCATACAGCTTGGAATGGCGTTCGCAGCGCGGACATTCACGTCGCGTGAGGTATGAATTTGACTGGAGGAACCATGTATCACAGGTCTGGCACTCCACCCAGCGGTCGTACTTCTGGGCAAGCAATCGTGATGTCTTGGTATAGTCTCCGGGGACTCGGGCAACTTGTGACTCGGTCTCAACGGAGTCTACGATGAATCGCCGCTTGGTGCGAGGCTTTCGCTTTTTCGGCTTATCCACAGCGGCACCATCGGCGTCGTCTAATTGAGTGGAATTTGATAAGTCTGATAATCCTTCTTCGGGGTCAATGTCCATAGGATGGGCGGTGGCGGGCTGACCTTCAGGAGAGGCATCGGGATGATCCTCACCGTTGAGTATTTTCGACTCCGACGGTTCTAGTATAGTTTCTTCTGTCTTAATTTTGGTTCCCATGTCATCCACAGTTGTGGGGGTCGTTGACGTCGACGACCGGTGGGATTCATCGGCGGTGGAGTTTGGAGATTCGCAGTCAGTAGGGATAGTAGAATTACTGCCATTTGTCCCATTGGGGTTGCCTTGGGCAGCCTCGCTTGGTTGTCCCGCCCCTGTGGCAACTGGCAGGGGGGTTGGTGAATCAATTGGCGACGCCACTGCGGTTAGCTCTGTGATCTCTTTCTCTAGCTTGGACACCCGGGGTCCAGCTTCCGCCAGAAGAGCAGTTGGAATCAGTACAGTGTCCGGCATAGGGGTTCCGTCTGATCCGCGAGTTGGACCCGACTCCCCAGCAAGTTCAGAAACCGAGATCTCTTCTCGCAACTTGGAAATTTGTCGTTGGAACTTTGCACGTTTGCGCGGAGTGGAACAAGTCAAAGTAGAAGAGCTCTCAGGTTCATCCGCGTCCGAGCTGCGTCTACGTTTCCTGCTCGCATTGCTATCTTCGGCCGGTGTAGCTTCGGACATGGGGCTGGACTCTTTGCTGTTTGCCTCTGTGTCAATATTCGAAGACCAGCCGTTCCGTACAGCGCTCTCGCAAGTATGACACAGACACTCGCAGTTGTCAACGCCAAAGTAATCCTCTCCGTAGGAAACCGTGATCTCTTCCCCTTCGTGGATGTCGCGCATGGCTACGACAGACATGCCCTCGTTACCCCTGGTTGTCAAGCTGCCATTGGCATCACAGTCATGATTGGCAAAGCGAGCAGGACCCAGAAAGAAGGACGGGGCCTTGCGGCGACTTGACATCACGATGCTGAAGTCTTTGCGGGTCAAGCCGAGATCCAACTCTTCTTCGTGAGTCATAGACACAAGCGTTCCACTCAGGTGTTTGATCTCCTCGCCCTTTTTAATAAACCTGCGAGCGCAGATCGCAGCTTCGTGTTGTGTGATAATGTATCGATTGGTCGTGGTGACCTCAAAAGGACAGTCTGGAAGATACATCTGGATGTACTTGCGGAGGTGTCGGCGGAACCACTCCTTCTCTCGAGGGCTACGGAGGTTTGTCATGTATTTCTTTAAGCCTGGTATCTCCAGCAGCTTGCGTTCCGCCGTGGGGATATCCTTGTCGACGATCACATCGTGAAGAAGAATGCGCCCAATATCATCATCGTGGATTCCGCGGGCAGGGCTGTACTTGGTGCGGTTCTTGCGGGTGGTGGTCCAAAAATAGGCCTGTTAATAAGAAATGTCAGTGCACATATCTCTGTGTTGAATTGCAGGCAAAGAGCATACGTGATCCACTAGCGCATCGGTTGCGACATCGTCATAGCTGGCAAGTTTAGCCAGGGTCAAGCGCTCGCGACGTTCGGCAACGGGCGAGTTCTTTCGCGCTCTCTTTGGAGGCATGGTGAGTATAACAAGAAGCTGATGACCGCTAGAGATCGAAGCGGGAGAGAAGATGTGGTCTCATAGACTGCAGAGTGGGTGCAAAGGATAGTCGAGAAACAGTGGAGGGCGGAGGTCCGAGGGATGGGTCGAAAAATGATTCGAGGCGCAAGACGGGAATTAAAATGAGTGACTGACAATCAACACGAGGAACATTATGAGGTGATTGTCACCATTGAGGCTGTTCCAAGGAGAAGGGCCTCCTTCGCAGATGTTTTTAGGGGCGGAACGGACACTCGGGAGTGCCAGCTGAGACCTTGCCGTCTCTTCTACTTTTGCTCTTCCGCCTTTCCCACTTGACGTGTTGTCCTTCTCTCTCCTAGTAAATATTGGATAGGAGGGGATTTATTATTGTTATCATTTCATTTTCTACTCCGTATAGGTTTGTTTTGACTTGATTTTACGCGCCCAGCTCGCATACAAACAATATGCACCGTGCGTCAAGCCATCCAATCCTTCCTCCATGTCGTATCACCGCAATTACACCCAATCAAGATCAATTTTTGAGATCAAGTGATCGGTCTTTTTCTGTCTTATGCGTAAAATATATAGTATATCATCCCGCAATGTTTGCTGTTGAATATCCGCAGCCAATGAATTGCTGGAGAATCTGATGGATCTAAGTATGAACATAGTACCTTCGCTTTCATGGGTTTTTCGAGTTTATTCCTGTCCCGATGTATCTCGGGGTTATATAAAAGCCAGTCTATGTATCTATGTCAGAAAATAAGAAAAATCCAGGATTATATAGATCTGAATTTAGGATGTTGTTGAACTATATATCCAGTTGACAGCGGCATGGATTGAGACAGTAAAATCCCATTTAGGATGTTACTCGAACGACTAGAATAAACATTCTTTATAATTATTAGATCAATATAAGTAAGAATAATAGACACACAACAGGTCGGGGTATATTATGATCAACCGGCGGTTCTCATGCGATGTACCATGACTGACATGGTCAATTGGAGACCTAACATTGGAAAAAAAAGAGATTCTTTTTGAGCGAAAAACTAAATTGAATCTAGATTTGTAATAATTGAACAATAGCACGAAATCAATTCCTAGAGAATGTAACTTAAAGTCTTACTTCGATATTGTATAGAGGCACATAGGCCCGGATAAACCTACTCTCCGGGGAAACCTCTCTCCGGCCGCGAGAACAAATTGCGGACAAACGCTATCTCCAGACCAAGCACCAAAACACAATGATTCAATTAAAGGTGCGCAAGTGATGCCCGTTACCGGCTCGGAAAATACTGACCCTCGCTCCGTCAGACACTATTAAGTTGCATCGACAACTCCGGCGCCTCGATAGTCGAGTGCGTGAACGTCTTGAAGAAGAAGCGGCCCGCGACAATCGGTCAGTCTCCACGGCACTTGAACCCAGCATATAGCACAGCAAGAGGATAATTGGGAATCCAAGCTAACATTGTGACTGGGTATCTAGGTGACCGGATAGTCGTCGTCGTCCAGAAGCAGCGATCTGCAGGCTCCGAAGCCACCACCGCCGCTGCGCTCGCCAGTAAGGTCCGCCGTGGTGATATTCGTCATGCCGTTGTTGTTCGTGTGAAGAAGGAGTTGCAACGGCCTGATGGGTCTCTTGTCCGGTTCGGTGATAATGCTTGTGTATTGGTCAACAAGTCCGGAGATCCCATCGGGACAAGAATGAACGGTAAGTGCCAATCGGGGAGTCCAAGATAACTGCCGTCCCACGTTTTAGATGCTGATATCTCGACAGGTGTGGTGGGACAAGAGCTACGAAACAAGAAGTGGTCGAAGATCTTGTCATTGGCGCCGATCCATGTTTAATATTTCAAGTTTCTACATTCGTTGGAGAGCGTTTTTTTGTTTCTTTGATTGGGTTTCAATCCATATGTATTCTTAGTAGGTAGCATCAGTTCACCCCGTTCCGAAATCTCCACGCATCTTCTCCGTTCCTGCTCCGAAATATTCGCCAAACTCCGATGATGTCGCAAAAAAAAAAACCACGAAAGAAAAACATTCAAGGGTATCGGAAAATGGAGACCGCATCGCAGAAAGAAATCACATGTAGACTTGACCGCACGCGCAACAGACGTAGTAGAGTTTCTGAGTAAATAGAAGCACAAGTCAGCACATGATTCATGATTTCTATATTAGAGAATCGGGGATCCATCAGAGGATTAGTTCTCACCATGCCGGTTTCGGCGGATCGTTGTTGTGATTGGAAAAAGACGGCTTCGGTTTCGCCGCAGCTTGGACAGAGCTTGTTGGCTCGTGGGAGCTGCGAATAGGGGTTAGCCTAGGGATGCTCATGAAGTTACTGAGCTGGGGTAGACCCCCGGGGCTCGACTTCAGAGGACTCCAGGCTGTCACCCACAGGCGGCGCATCCTCGGGGATATCCTCAATCGGGGTGGGGTCGCAAATAGGACAAGAGATAACCTCCCCGCATAGGGTACAAAGAGCAGGACCACAAACCGTAGGATCAGACGTCACATCCTGAGTAACACCAGCAGTATCACCGACTTGGCTATGGAGGTGGTTCTGGTAGACACAGTGGGACGAGGCAGGCTCGCCGACATGGCAGGTGCGGCACGTGAACATTAACTGGTTATTGACACGATCCTCCTTGGGGTAGAGCAGGTTGGAGCTATGGAACAGTCAGCGAGATATCCTCGAGCCATCAATGTCCCTGAAAGGATAAATCCCAGGTGGGAAACTCGGACAGAAACCTACCATTCACGGCAGAACTTGAAGTGAATTTGATCCGATGGCTTGGTGTCGCCACCAGCCGTGGAGGAAGGGCTAGCAGACATGCTGAAAGCGAAGGCCGAGGTGGACGTGGTGTATTGAGAACCGAGATGCAGATGATGATCTCGGGCAAATGTGGGGATGGAGACAATGGCTTCGAGATTGAAGAGGTAAATCCATAATGATCTCCATACTAGGCAGTGATTGTCGGAAAAACGATGACCCGAGGTGATCCGAGATGATCCGAAATCACGTGGGTATGCGGATGGGTGGTGGTTTGAATTCCTTATATAGGTGTCCTCTGGAATGTGACCCCCGCGCGTTTTGAACCTCCAAAAGGTATTTGATTCAATTATTAACGTAAGAATTATATCCTACCTGTCTATTGACCCGATAAAAAATATATATGCAGTATTAACATAGTTACATATATTCACGTTCCACACATACAGTCATGAAGGGTATAGTCACTACGCAAAAGTGTTAATACCAAAGTTCTGCCGGTTAAATATCCACCAATAAAAGGCTAAAAGCTAATAGGCGGTATACTACTTAAAGAAGATAGTATAATAAATTAAGAAGGCGGTAGTAGAAGGGCTGTTAACACTTTGCGGAGTCACTGCAAGTAACATACCAATCGTACCTGTATTAGAACCTGAACTGTATCTCACCTTTTTTGTGAGACCCTCTATATGCCATACATTCTAATCAGTACATGGAGATAGTTGTCAGAACTACGGAGTAGATGGTGATGGTTTAAACTTGAAGGAGAGCTAAAGCTTGGACATGTTTGTGTGGTTTGCAACTGCTCACCCCGCAGTTTCCGTTCACATACAACCGGCTTGTCACTGACTTGGATCGTTGTATCGTTTACTTTGCAAGATCCGTTTGAGTGATATTGATCTGTACATTATTATTTACTCGAAAATTATCAGAATCTTTTAGATCCAATATTGGAAAATGGTGGGATCAAACCAATTCTGAAAGTTTGCATAGCTGACCCATTGACCTAGGCCGACACAGGTCTTCCTACCGGTTGGGAAGTTCGCCATTCCAACTCTAAGAATCTCCCATACTATTTCAATCCTTCCACAAAAGAGTCTCGCTGGGAGCCACCTGCGGAAACCGATACCGATAAACTGAAAGTCTATATGGCGCAAAACCACACCCCGGCTGCTCGCCCTGATGCCTCTGGCGAGGGCGAGGGCAAGATCCGCTGCAGCCACTTGCTCGTCAAGCATCGTGATAGCCGCCGCCCTAGCAGCTGGAGAGAGGCTGAAATTACTCGCACAAAGGAGGAGGCTATTGAGATCCTCAAGGGTCATGAACAGCGCATTCAATCTGGAGAGATCACTCTTGGTGACCTGGCAGTCGCTGAGTCCGACTGCAGCAGTGCCCGGAAGAAGGGCGATTTGTGAGTTTTTCTAAGTAATCTACATCCCAAATGATTCGCTAACTCCTTGAAGGGGCTTCTTTGGCCGCGGCGAGATGCAGAAGGAGTTCGAAGATGCCGCTTTTGGTTTACAGCCTGGCGAAGTCAGCAGCATTATTGAGACAGCGTCCGGAGTTCATCTCATTGAACGGTGAGTTCTATCCCTGAAGTGAAGCTATTTACATATGGCTAATCTTAGATCGCGGTCTCCAGTGTCCAATAATCGCATGCTCCTGCCCATGTCTCGGTCAATTCCGCAGCGAAAATATCTGATCGCCTCAATGCTTTGCAAACGCTGGTCTCACATCTTGGAATGATCTTCAAAAGAAATAAACTACAATGAATTAAATGCCATCTTTGTTTTCTTCTGGCTTAGAGTGTCTTGTGTCTTGTCTCGGGCAGGACCAATCGAGTAGCGGAATCTGCGACAGCCTTTCACCTGCCATAGAAAGATGCTAATAAATTTTGTTGATGAAGTCTCAAAATTCTCAGATCTTTTTGAAAGAAGATTTGTATCATAGCAGGCCTTGAAGCTTGTAGTCTCTTTTGATTCAAGAAACATGATGGAACTCGAGGACGTGCCTGATATCATAATCCCAACTCTAATAGACTCTGTCTTAGGCTAACAATAACGCATTCTAGGCTTAGTAGTTTCGATTGACGGAAGGTTCCAACGGAAAGGTAAATGGAGACCTAAAATAAGCCGCAAGATTATATGTGGCCGTCAAGGTCAAAATAGAGATGTCAAAGGGCATTGAGCGTATGAAAAACACTGCTCTTACAGACGAGACATCTCCCAGACCTCTACTCTTCTTCTACTATCCTTCCTCTCTCATTCTTTCTTCCCCCCCACAACCTCTCTTTACTACTTCTTTCCCCCACTTCCCATACACTCACCATGAGCAGCGCCACCCTTAAACTCCGTCAGAAGCGGTCCATGACGCGTCTTCTTAACCAGGGTCGCTCAATTCTCGAGTACAACTTCGACCCAAACGCCTTCGTTATCCCCCAGTGGATCTTGGCACCCCCCGAGGTGCGCAATGCCATGCTCACCCTCCAGTACAAAGCCATGATAGCAGTCTATGGCATGAAGAGTCTCATGATCGCCCGCGACCACCGCTACTTCGAGCTTTGCCCCAAGAACATGGGCGCCATTGTCTATCAGCTTCACCAATCCTCCATGCGTCGTCTCCTCGAATGGAAAGAGGATTGGAACTTCGCCGACCCGACCCTTGCAGCAGCTGCCAAAATCCCCCGCGACACCCTGCAGTTCTGCGTCGACTCGATCTCCTACGGAAAGTTTACCTGCGATTACACCAACAAAATCGACGGCTTTATGTCTGGTCCTTTCCAGAACTGGCGCCAGTTTCGCATGGAGATCGGGCACTTGGCTTTCCGTCTCATGAGCCATAACTCCCACGACTACACCGAGTGGCGTGTCTGGTGGGAGGGCAAGTTTGCTAATGATATGTGGAAATGGGAGGGTTGCCTTGAAGGCCTGATACTTCCTACCTGGGAGGAGATCATCGATGATGTTTACCTGATGATCAACGATCGAGTTGAGGATGCCCAAGAATTGGCCAACTCATTCTACATTAGCACCCGGGGGCTGGCTTCGACAACTTAGCTTGACTCCAAGTATCTGTGATTTTATTTTCTACAATTATGGTTCAATGGATATGACAACAATTACGACAACAATGTGACTTGGGATTTACGGTCTGGGCTCGGCGCTGGTACGGAGCAGCCTGATGGGAATCAGGTTGAAAGAACCGGGAATTTTGGTTTTGATTTTTTTTTTGATCATTTTTTGATCTATTACCCTCTGAAATGCAACAAACTACAAAATATGTAATCTACAACCGATCGTGACAGTTGAGGGCGAATGCGCTATATGAAAATAGTAGTTTGTTTGACCCAAACAAACCATAGTGAACTTCGGTCCACAACACTTGTTTCCTAGACTTCTATTACTTGGAATTACTATCAGAAGCTATTCAGACCATAAACACCTAATGATCTGATATTTGATTACCCAATGAAAGAAAACAAAACATTGGCTTGTCTGGCTAATGGTCACGTGTGAATTTGAACCCTACATATCGACAGTAGTAGTAGCCCTGGACGGGAACAAAGAGAGCTACCTAGTTACCTTGTCATTGTTTGTTTCTGAAGAAGGAATTAGACAAAGAAATCAGACAAATAAAACCAAACAAAGAAGCCACAGGAAGGGAAAGACAGAGAGAGCAACTAAGCCTAAAGGATCATATGGTCTTTGTCAAATTCGGAACCGTCTTTAGTGTTGACTTGCCAACTAAAGCTTTCTTTTATGAGTATGTATAGCTCTGGATAAATCTTGCGAGTGAAGCTATAAGGTGCAGGGTCTTTCGTCTGTACTCTTTACTAGCCACCATCAGCCACTAAAGTACCAACCCAACGGAATCTGAGATTCCCCATCCCCCAAGATGTGCACCCACTGGACCTGCAAATACACACTGTGCGGCTGTATATGGGACCTGGACCCATCAAAATGCCCAGAGAAGCGCCTCTGCTGGGGTCCAAGAATGATAACACTCGAATCCCACATAGCAACATGCGCAGACTGTTGGGCGAGAGGGGACAAGCGCGTCTACGACCCACAAACATATGACGAAGCTAACAGAGACGGAGAAGCATCCAAAACGGCGACATTTGATTGCGAAAGCGACGCAGAGGGGGGTGACAATAGTTCCGACGACGACGAGGACTATTTTTCAGCTGAAGAGTTTCTGCCACCATCTCCATACTCGCGACCCGCCACCCCGCAACTATACTATGAGGTACATTCGGAATTGTGTCCCGTGTCTGAGGATAACGAGTTCGATTTGACCAGGACCTGTGACCCGGTGGATCCTGTGTCGATGGGGAGGGACTATCGAGCAAGACGCCACAAAACGACCGCGTCCCAGTACTCGTCGGATGGTACGGATTCTTTTGTTTCTTGTGAAGAGTATCTCGATGAAGAAACCCCCGAAGAGGAAGATTTCGGTTCTGGGAATGAAGAAGATGATGTCTACTATAGCATTGTGGGTCCCACTGTTAGGCCCAAAGGTCTGATCAAAAGCTTGGAGGACAGATCGTTGCGGTTATATGGCTCAGTACAGGAGTACTACCCAACAGAAGAGTAGGAGAGATATGAGAGGTGGACTGGAATATGTCGTTAAATGTGTGAGTATGTTACAGACCCCCTCATTTTCCTAAAAGGTCTTTTATTTGGGTGCAATTCTTTATTATTCTAGATCATTCCAGGACTAGCGTCAGATTATTATCAAATTATCGCATAGATACTGACAGGATGAAGAGGTTTGGACCCATGCAAAGGAGCAGCTGTTGAGGCTATCCAAACCAATTAAGAGGAGGAATGGAGATATAGACCAAAACTGACACGTAAGAACGATTGATGGCTTTTACCTTTTGCCTAGATCTAGCGTAGAACAGCGTGAGGCTTAAGGTTCAAAATTCAAAAAGTGGCTCATCTCACAAGCCTCGTGGATTGATGCGTAATAACATACACGTGAAAAACTAGATCCTCCGATAACATGCAGAGCTAGATAGTTTACAAACTCGTGTTCAGTCGTTCCAAACGTGAGGTGATCGCGTCAATAACGGCGGACCTGGAAGAAGGTTAGTTATCGATGCGTTGATAGATAAATGAAAGAAGGCACTCACTCTCGTTCGACCATCCTCATCGCATCTGCAACCTTGGCCCGTTGCAGTCGTTGGGGCACTTTAGGCTGGCCCCCAGGAGAGGACGGAGTTCCAAGTTCTGGAGAAGGCATTTTGCCTGCGACAGACTTGGTTTGGGCCATAAGGTCCAAAGCAAGGCGCTTGACCTAGATAATGTGAGAATTCTAGTTGAGATGAATGCGAGAAAGACAAAACTTACAGTCTCCAACCGTGAGATCAATGGTTGATCCTTCTCCTGGTCTTCATCCTGCTGTAAGGATGCAGACAATGTCTTCACCTCCGTTATCCAAGCCTTCTCCTTTTCACTCAGAGGGCGACCTCCAGAATTCAAGACCTTCGTGCGCAGTGCCTCATATCGTCGGTTCAGTTCAGTTTGCTTATCCTGGGCGGCTTGCAGTCTCTTATCCAGCGCTTCTCCATTTCGAACTCCTTCCTTGCGGTGCCCGTCTTCTCCAATCTCACTAGTGACACCCTTGACGCGCTCTGCAACATCCGAAAGCTGCTTCAGTTGGTCCTGCATCTCGCCCTGCAGCCGCTCACAGCGGCGGAATAAATCCGAAGCTGCCCGCTCAAGAGCATTTGTATGAGCAGATAGCACGCGGTGCGCAGTGGCCACAAGGTCCAATGTTGCAGGAGACAGGCGCACTTGCTCCTTGAGCGTGTGGCGTTGCCGGTGCGGGACGTGCTTCTCAACAAAGGAATCTAGTGGAGAGTTGGCGTAGAAAATGGCGGGAACCTGATATGGGGCCCGACTCGGGGGCAAAACAGGCAAGCCTGGCGCCGGGGCGCTGGGCTCATACAGCGATTTGTCCAGTGCCACAGACAGAGAATCTTCTGGCGTATCCATTACAGCTGCATAAGGGTTAGAAGGATGGTAGGTGAGAAGCAAGTAGCCGAGGTCGAAGTCATAGAAAACAAGAGACGTGGCAAGATGGTCTTTCTGCGCGGTAATATCGGCATTTGAAACCTGCAGAATTCTGTCTCGGTTGGTCACATTCCCGTCGCAGAGAACCTGGAGACGGAAAGCGGAACCTGCGGTATCTTCTGCTTGCAATTCAGCCTCCAGTCTCGGTACCCAATCGGATAGAGATAGAAACACCACGTTAGTGGCAGTTGTGACAAAGAAGGAGTATCGAGAATGGACATCCTTAGTGAAAGTAGGCCATGTAGCTGCGTCCTCTCCATTCTTGATTGTATCCAGTGATTCGACTAAGACCAATTCAGTCGGCTCTGAAAGAGGAGTCCGGAACGCGTTCTTTCTAGCTTTGGGCAGCCATTGTCCTTCAACACCGTCGAGCTCTAGACAGATGTGGACTCGGCCATTCCCACTAGTAAGAGAGAGAACCGTTGCTGAAAGCTTATCTTGGTCTCCGGTTTCCACGGCTAATTCTTCTTCCTCACCCATCATGAGATCCTCGACGTTTAGACTGGCAGCAATGACAAGAAGATCACAGAGATCCAAATCATCGAGCTCCTCGCCATTGTCGAAGCGGAAAGGCCCTTGTAATCTTGGAATGGCGCTAGGATTGGCCGGACGAGTGAACACATCTGCGCCTTGGATTGTTCCTGGTCCAGAGGGTGTATCCAGAGGCTCTTGTTCATCAAGCTCTGAAAGCCAGTCGTACTGTTGCCGGCAGGCAATCAGTTCCTCCTCCGATTCCTCGGGTTCCTGTTCCAGAGCACCAAGTTTCGGAATAATCGCCGCAGAAAGAGAAGGAATGGTCGTAGAAGGGGCTTGCCACCTAGAAGGCAGGAGAGGACAAAGCGCATAGAGATCGCCAGGTCTCATAGCCACCCACAGGGTCATAGGCGCCCATGCATCTTCTTTCTCGTTTCCATTTCCAGCGAAACAGGCCGACGCAACCTCCATGTCAATGACATCAGCAGAGAATCCCTTATTTTTGCCAAATCCAGAAGGTGTGAAGTCCTGGTCAGATGAAGTCCCATCGACGAGCTTCTTCAGATCTATTGCTAGGGTCGGCTGGTCAAAGGACCAGTGGTTATTCCGGTCCAACTCCCACACACGCACCGCAGCGTCAGCTGTGATTGTAACAATACAGCCCCCTAGATTGGTGTGCAATCCCAGTGGATGCCACAGCGCGGAGACCACCGGAGCCTCAGGAATAACATGGGTTGTCGGTCCTAACTGATATGTCTTCAGCCGGATAGAGTCGGAGTCGGAGGATGAAAGGTGCGAGGAATCGGGAAGAACGGAGATGTGAACGGTGTGTTCAGTGACGATGGCAAGGAATGCGCCGTTGGGGGAGGGGATGATTTGTTTGATCAGTCCGTACACAGGCACGGCTAAAACCTGCAGAACTGTTAGTCGCAATTCAATTCAACCCGAATTTGGTTCTCTTAGGTGTAATAGGTGTTAATACCCTGTAGGGAGGAAGCTGAGTGTGGTCGGCTTGCTGTTCATCTTGACTAGCAGATCCCTTCTTCTGCTTAATCTCTTGTTGCCATTGGTCTTTGAGTCGGGCAAGGTTTGACCACCGAATCTCATTGTCAACAACGGCGAACACTTCATTTCCCCTCTTAGCGATCGTTCGCGTAGCTCCATTGCTTGTAGGCTTGGATCCATTTTGCAGGTCCTCCGCTGGACTTTGGGCTGAACTGCTAGACAGGAACTTTGCGCCAGGCGAGGGCCGGCACAGCCAGGCAGGCGCATAACTGTTGACCTTTGGCATTAAGGATGGTTCGTAGGTTGAATTGTATAATCGGAATGTGTTAAGAGTTTCAGATCATCCTGGGGCGGCCAGAAATAGCAGACAAGTGGCGCGGGTGGAAAAAAAAAACGAAGTTGACGAAAGCAAAGTTGTTGATGCGGAGTGGAATTCTTGGGTGCCAAGATCTTTCGAAGAGCTCCGAGCTGCTTTGCTTCCCCAACTACCTTCCGTCAACCACACACTTCAAAGTTCAACCTTCCTCTCAATTCACCATGAGTTTGCTGGCTGTAAATACAGTCGACCGGCTGGATCGACCGAGCGCATACTATGTTAGCAAGGTGAGCACTCGCCCAGGACTTACCCTTTACTAAGCTGCGTCGAAACCAGTCCGAATGGGCCAGAGGCTGAACAACTGTACACAGAACAAGCGGCGCAGATTCAACGACCGTGAGGATGATGAATCGCAGCAACAGGAGAAGCCTGACGAGAAATTGAAAAACGCGACAACCCTCTACGTGGGAAATCTGTACGCAAACATGCAATAACCTAGACTTCAATTTCCGTTACTGACCAACTCAAGTTCCTTTTATACTACAGAGGAACAAATCCACGAACTCTTCGCCAAGTGAGAATGCGCCTTCGGTTCCCTTCGAATTATGATTAACCTCGAATTCCAGGTGCGGTGAGATCAAGCGACTTGTAATGGGCCTCGACCGATTCAACAAAACGCCCTGCGGCTTTTGCTTCGTCGAGTATTATACCCACCAGGATGCGCTGGATTGCTTGAAGTATATTGGAGGGACCAAGCTGGACGAGCGCATCATTCGGACAGACCTTGACCCTGGATTTGAGGAAGGACGGCAGTTCGGGTATGTCCTCTTCACCAATTGCGGCTACGGGCCAGTAATGACTGACTTTCTCTGCAGACGAGGAAAATCGGGCGGTCAAGTGCGTGATGAATACCGCGAAGAATACGATCCGGGCCGTGGTGGATATGGCCGCGCCTATGACGAGCAACGCCAGCGCGAGGAGGATGAATACGGCGCCGGAAGGTAGGTCAGGACATAATGGAAAACTACTGGCTTGGCAAAGCAATGGCGTTACTTCATGGGAGGGTGAATCCAATTAGCAGAAACAGGAAATGTCTATTCACCGAATACCCTATTTACAAACTTCTTTTTGCCCCCATCACCTTCTAATGCTGGTGGTTATTGCTTTAACTTATCTCGTCTCAGCACTGCTGCTTGAACTTCGCGCAACCACCAAGTGTGGATTCTAGCGTCGCCTGTCAGCTCCGGGTGGAAACTGGTGCCGAATACATTGCCCTGTCGCACTGCGACAATGTCGCCAACTTCCTGGTCTGGATTGATGTCTCGACCCTCCGCTGCGCGTTGAGCTGCCGGTCCCACTAATTTTGCTAGTACCTCGACCTGCTCTGCTGTTGCTGCTTGTGCCACTGAGTCTCGTACTTCTCTGGATGGTGCCACGACAACATCTTCCTGTTGAATCTCTTCGGTTTGAATGCCCTTGTGGTGGGGAAGAATCTTTTCGACGATAGGAGCTCGAATGAATACTGCTGGGAAGGGAGGCGCGTCTTGGCCCAAGAATGGCAGATCCAACGGGCCTTGGAAGCTTTCTGTCTGTCGACCAAAGTGGTTTCGGTTCACTCGCACATCAAGACCGCCGATCAGCTCTTGCCCACCCTTCTTTGTCTTGTTGGCAGACTCGGCGAGCAGAATCAGCCCGGCGCATGTACCCCACGTTGGTTTGCG